ACTATCTGTCCTTCCTGAAAAAAGAAAAGGGTAAGGCTCTCCGTAAAAAAGTTGTGGAGAAGAAGTCCAGAAAACCTGTTAAGACATTTAATATACAGTTCCTAACAGAAGACAAGTCAAACGACAGAATTAGCTCACACTTGCGGCTAAAATCTGAAGTTGTATTGAATGAAAAATTCCTTTTATCTTTTACAAAAAAAGATTTACTTCTTATATGCCAAATGTATGAAGTTAAGATGTCATCTCAAAAGAAAAAAGAAGATATACTTTTAAATCTTAACAGAGTGATCTTAAATTGTGATTCCATACCTTGTCCAAACAAACTTCTCTCAGATGCATCTTCACGTTCTGTGCCTGAAGTTGAAGATATTCCAGGACCAAGTGGATATGTCCCCCCACAGCCTCCCTCAACTCCTGTCAGTGTTACTTCTGATTCTTCGGCTTCAGGACTCGCACCTACAATAATTACCACAGAATGTCAATCAAGGAAGGGAAAAGGGAAAGGGAAAGGAAAGGGTAAGGGTAAAGGAAGAGCCAAGAAGAAGACTCCAGCAGCTAATGTATATGATCAAGATGAGGACTGTGCAGTATGTAATGGACATTATGTTGATGGTGAGGACTGGATAAGCTGCGATATTTGTAATTTGTGGTACCACAGGGATTGTGCAAATTTACAGGATGATGAGGAATGGTCTATTATCAGTGAGCCTGAGGGGGTCTATACTTGCGCACTCTGCCAATAAGATGGGTATACATGTACGTACACTTATCTGCATGTTTTGTGTGTTCTGAAACATAATATCAATTAATCAATACATGTATTTGCTCATTTATAAATTATTTTATATGGTTTCTGATACTTGTAATGTATTCAGTTTATATTTGTTTCTTTCAAATTACATGTAATTTTTGCCCTTAGTTAATGATTCTTTAATTATTCCAATTGTTTGCAACCAAAATAGTGTACTCTTTTCTATTAGAAGTTAAAGATTTTAATGACAGTAACCATACATTAAGTAGCTGTTATTTCTTTCAAGATTAAGACTACCTATATACCTATAAAGTGATTATCTACATGTATTGCATTCAACACCTTAATTAAGGAGTGAATTCTCAGAGAATATAAATGTTCATCAATGGAAGGATGCATGTTTCAAAAAAAAAAAAAAAAAAAAATTCCCTTAATTATTTTTTTTTTACAGCTATATTCCATACCTTTGGTTTTACACCATGATGTACTGGTAATTGTGCTCCTTCACCACCTCCTACATTAGATTTTCGAGATATTGAAGCTTGCCCAAGAATTACTGAATTAACTGAATGACAATAACCTAGGTAAGTTGGATTAGTATTGGCCCCGTTATATAATGTTCTCTGCTGACAGAACATGTTCTCAATCACATCACTATTGACGCGACTCGGGATGATGGATGCATTGCAAGACTTTAATTTGTATACACACAACTCTTCAAATCCCATAATTGAAGAAATTATATCTCCCCTTGTCTGGTGAGATATGAGATGTTTTTCCTTGTTTTTAATCAATTTATCCTGTTTGATTGTCTGTTCCCACTTAATGAACCATTGCAGTGCATCATTGTTTTCCTTCAGTCTGTCATCACTGACATCAGTGATTGGTCTAGAGTCTCTAAAGTTCCTTATTAGTGCACTAGTATGGGTCAACATTTCTATCGTTCCATCCAGCTTGTGCCCAGCATCACCTAAACTCTCACGATAAAGTTTCATTAGATGCAACATCTCACTGTTTAACACATCTTCAGCCAAATGATTCCTCATTTTACTTTCTGATGTTAAGTAGATATGTTCCTGTGTGAGTTTGTGATGGATAGGAAATGGGTTTGTAGAAATGTCCCACAGATATGCCCCTTTGAAGTGATCCCATTCTATAAATGTGTCCTCATATTTCAAATGTCTTTTACAGAATGCAGCTTTTCCACTTTTTGATACATTATTTCTTATTTTTTTCAACACATGTGATATGTCCATGATGAAGAATAACTTCTGATTTTCATTCTGAGAGAAAATGTTTTTGAATGAACATGTAATTGGATTTAAAGTATCAAAATTTGGTATCAATATTTTGTACAAGTCTCGATTGCTTTGGGCACCATCTGTACTGATATATTGAATTGTGAACCCAAATGTTGAAACCATGTTTACAGATTTCCATATAAGTAAATAAAGTTCATGACCTGATGCAGTATGAGATGGAAAATGGGCAAATGGGAAGCGAAAACCGGTGAAGCCCAAAAATACTAATTGCAAAACATGAGTAGCTAGAGTTTTTTCTCTTTTGCCGTTTTTCATTTGATCAAAAACAATGGACTCTGGAGTACATTCAGTAAATCCAATCAATTCAATATCATTATTTTGTTTACGAAATTGTAAATCTGGTTGTATCGACATTTCGTCAATGATGAGTCCGCCTTCATATCCTGCAGGGGGAATATTCTTCAATTTGGCTTCATTAGCCATCCATTCAAGCATATCTTTTTTAATCCCACCCTCTTGGTGAACAGAGTTCTTGTACTTTCGTAATAAATTCTGAGAGGGTAATATCAGAAAATTACTGTTCCTCAGTTCACTATAACCCCTTGGACTTCTGCAATACAATGTCAAACATAGTCTAACAATTTCTTTACTCCATCTTCTGCCATTTGGGTTTCGCTCTAAAGCCATTTTTTGGTTCATTAGAAATGTTTGCATTTTCAAAGAACATTCAGGAAAAATTGTCTTTAAAATTGTACTCAAATCATCATGATCAGTTTTTTGTAGTATAATCTCATCATATTTTGTAACTTGTTCTTTGTGTGTAATGTTGTCATCAGTATTTTGTGCATCACACTCAGATTTATTCATTTTTGGTTTCATGTTCAATTTTTTACAGTTCTTACAAGTTGAATATGATGAGGCATTTGATGTGTTAAATGGCAGAACTTTGAAACACTTTTTGGACCTGAATTGAAGAATTTCACTATTCTCATCACCAACACTACAAATATGTTCCTGAAAATGGGGTAATTCTTTTCTTTCAATGGTATTCACTCCTCTGCAGTATTGAAGATGTCCAATGATTTTAAATAATGATTTCACAGACTGAGAAGTTAGTGAAAAGTGACTTTGTAAACCTAAATTTTCAGGGTCAATTTTTTCCCCCATCATATTAAGTGAATATTTTCCATCTGACTGTAAATCAGTTTCAATCATGGATTTCCTTCCATTTATTATTTCTCCAGTAAAGTGTCCAATTTTTATTTCTTTTATATTGTTTGTTATCACAAAAAAGTCTGGTGGTAATAATGAGGGAATATTTATAAACTCTATTTCAGATTGAGTGGCAGACTCCATGTTCCATGAAAGACCAAAATATCTTTGTGTTAATTTGGACCAGTCTTCTGTTGAGCGAACTGCTTTAACTATAACATTCTTAAATGTTTTTTTAATTACATTACCAATTGCCCTACTGGTAACATCAGATTCATATTTCTTTTTGATGTCCTCCGTGTCAATATATTGACTTTGACTGCCTTCTACCAAATTTTCCAGCACCCAAGATGATAAAGAATGCTTGCAATTCATCGCGGCTTGATTTTAATTATTATTTCTTAAATTAGACTTTTTTTCGATTTTGTAAATATGCGCCAAATTAAATTTTTCGTAATTCTCTTACCTTTTCATTGTTTCCATGTACACTCGGAACTTCTCAGTTAAGCAGCAGAGTTATCCTCCTTGCGATAGGTGACGTAATGCCTTCACTTCCGTTGGATAAGCTTTGATCAGTTCAAAAAACGATAACTTGTCGGTGAAAATCATGCCATTTGACCCAATAAATAAACTTATATTATTGTGACATGCAGATGTTTAGTGAAGGAAATATTTGGGACACGGCGTGATCAAACCGTTTTTACTGGTAAGTACCGTTTTATAGTACATTTTAAAAAAAATTCCTTGGTAGTGCCTCTCGGATGACAGACGAAGTTGGCAACCTTGTTGTTTTTTATATATAGAGTGGGGAATTTTTATAAAATGTTTGTTTTTCGTAATTTTTCGGGCTGATTGTATGGATTATATCACAAATATGTTACTAAAAGATAATTTATGAAAAAAAAGTCGAAAAGGCCCGGGGGTCTATATTGAGGGGGGGGGGGGAGGGGAGTCCTGTCCTCAAGCACCTATGTAATAGACGTGTTATATTAACAATTTTAACATAAATACACACAATTGTCACAAGAAAACTGACCTTTAAGCATTGTTAATCCATTTTCACAAGTTCTCCATCCCGGATTTAAATTATGTGCAAGTAACTCTTGAAGTATTCAAAAATCTCTAATTCGGATAAAAATGGAAACTATTTTTACAAAATAATAATGAAACGAGAGAAATCGTCTACTCTGTTATAACTAACATAGGTGCTTGAGGACAGGACTCCCCCCCCCCCCCTCAATATAGACCCCCGGGCCTTTTCGACTTTTTTTTCATAAATTATCTTTTAGTAACATATTTGTGATATAATCCATACAATCAGCCCGAAAAATTACGAAAAACAAACATTTTATAAAAATTCCCCACTCTATATATAAAAAACAACAAGGTTGCCAACTTCGTCTGTCATCCGAGAGGCACTACCAAGGAATTTTTTTTAAAATGTACTATAAAACGGTACTTACCAGTAAAAACGGTTTGATCACGCCGTGTCCCAAATATTTCCTTCACTAAACATCTGCATGTCACAATAATATAAGTTTATTTATTGGGTCAAATGGCATGATTTTCACCGACAAGTTATCGTTTTTTGAACTGATCAAAGCTTATCCAACGGAAGTGAAGGCATTACGTCACCTATCGCAAGGAGGATAACTCTGCTGCTTAACTGAGAAGTTCCGAGTGTACATGGAAACAATGAAAAGGTAAGAGAATTACGAAAAAATGTAAACAAAAAGTCCGCGAAAGACGGAAAGTCAGCTGTTTTAGAGTTCACAATGTTTGACGAAGACCAGGAGTTGGCATTTCGTCTTTCAAATGGCCATAATTTGATTATTAGTGGTCAGGCAGGTACAGGAAAGACATTTCTTGTGAAGAGGATTGTTAAAAAATATAGTAAAGAAAAACATGTCGCCATCGTATGTTCCACAGGAATAGCTGCGACTCATTACGGTGATCTGGGGGCAGTTACATTACACAAATGGGCAGGAATAGAAGATGGAAGGCATGTCACCGAAGAACTTATTCACCTTGTTTTAACAGACGAACGTTTTGTGAAAGTGAAAAATAATATTGAAATTACAGATCTTCTTGTAATTGATGAAATATCAATGATTAGTGCCAAAACATTTAATCAATTAGAAATGCTGTGTAGAAATATAAGAAACAATGACAGATATTTTGGGGGAATGCAAGTCATTCTTGCTGGTGACTTTTATCAGTTACCCCCAGTCGCTAATGAAATTATTGGTGATCCAGGTAACCATTGTTACAAACTACCATGGTTTAATAACTGCTTCCCACATAAAGTAAAATTAAACATAATTCACAGACAGAGTGACACAACACTTATCAAATGCATAAATGAACTTGAGATAGGAGATCCATCAGATGAAAGTGTAGCTTTCCTAAAGTCTTTAGACCGACCACTGCCCAGTGAGGAAGAATGTATTCATCTCTTTGCCCGTAATTATGATGTTGACATTTTCAATTATAACAAATTGCAAAATTTACCAGGAGAACTTAAACTCTACAAATCAAGAGATGAAGGATCAAACCACTATTTAAGCAAATTCCTAGCACCCAAAAATTTAGGACTTAAAGTTGGTTGTCCAGTGATGCTTGTCAGAAATTTAAGTGATTCTTTAGTGAATGGCTTATGTGGCACTGTCGTTCAACTCATGTCTGACTCTGTTGATGTGAAATTTGTTTTTGAAAAAAGAAATACTGTTGTGACTGTTAAGCCAGTGGTTTTTACAACTTTTGATCCTGTGGATAAGATTACCATTGCAAAAAGAACTCAGTTACCATTGAAATTAGCATATGCTATAACTGTGCATAAAGCACAAGGAATGACCTTGAAGAATGTTGTCATAAATTGTGAAAACTGTTATCAGCCAGGGCAAATTGGTGTTGCTGTAGGACGTGCACAGCAAGTTGAGGGTCTACGAGTAATTAACTTCAAAAAAACATTATGTCGTAAGCATCCACTCCATGTTACAAGGCTTTATGAAAATTTTACCATAGGCAATGTGCAAAATGATTTGTCTTGCTGTAGGGGAATTAGAAGTGAAAAAACTGAAGACTCTAATACTGATGATGATGGTGATAATGATTTTGACTTTTCAGAAAATAGAAATATTGATGCAAATTTTGAATCTGACTCTGATTTTTCAGATAGTGAAATTGAGAAATTGGAAATTTTAGACTCTCTCATTGAACAACAAATTATAACAGAAGAATTTTCATCAAATGCAAAGACAGCTCTAGATTCAGTTTTTTCTGAATTTGTTGGAACACCTTTGGAAAATGAGATGTTTTCCTTTAAACAGAGAATTCTGGAAAATTTTCAAATCTACCATGATTGGTACCAATTGCAGTCCTCAGTCATTGAAGACATAGGTTTGATTTGTCTACCTGAAGGTGAAAAGACATACTCTGCCAAACAGCAAAATGATTTTTTTGTTAGATTTAATAAATACCTCAGTTCTGATGAATACAAAGACAGTGTAATATCAATGCTTAATATTTATTCAATAAAGGACAGTGGCCCACAATTTCAGTTTCTGACAACACTTTTATTTTATCTGGAAAGAAAGTTTTTTGAAGATTTATCAGGACATCTAGACTTGCAAGATCCTGAATCTATTAAGAGCACTTCAGTGTCAGCAGAAGAATTACTAGCACCTGCAAGAGGAAAAATCAGGTACATCAGTGGATATGTTCTAGCAAAACTGAAACACAACTTATCAGTGAAAACAAGAAATTCTTTATTTGCAGAGGGAGACAATTCTAAAGTATTACAACTTCAAAGTCAAATGAACATTTTAAATTCATTGTGTATTTCATATGATGAGTTGAAGGATTCAACTAAGGATATTGGAAGTTTGCATGAAACTAGAAGAAAACAAAATGAAAGAGAAAGTCTTACAAACTTGACTGATGCTAGTTTTGAATTTTTCATGAAACTTGAAACTTTGTGCAGGGAAAAACTGACACACATCAATCTAGTGTGTCATGGGAAAAGCATATTCAGTTATGTGACAGATGAACTTTACAAAAACACTGAATTATTTGAATTTTGGGTTGAGACTTTGAATAAGAATTATGTTGTTACTTATGTTACATCTAGTGATGAAGAAAACATTGAAAGTATCTTACACTCAATTGTAACCTCTTGTGAAAACTTCATAGAACTCTATCATTCAGTGATTCAGTTATTCTTGAAGGTGTCGTTCAGTCAATTTCGGAGAGACTATCTGTCCTTCCTGAAAAAAGAAAAGGGTAAGGCTCTCCGTAAAAAAGTTGTGGAGAAGAAGTCCAGAAAACCTGTTAAGACATTTAATATACAGTTCCTAACAGAAGACAAGTCAAACGACAGAATTAGCTCACACTTGCGGCTAAAATCTGAAGTTGTATTGAATGAAAAATTCCTTTTATCTTTTACAAAAAAAGATTTACTTCTTATATGCCAAATGTATGAAGTTAAGATGTCATCTCAAAAGAAAAAAGAAGATATACTTTTAAATCTTAACAGAGTGATCTTAAATTGTGATTCCATACCTTGTCCAAACAAACTTCTCTCAGATGCATCTTCACGTTCTGTGCCTGAAGTTGAAGATATTCCAGGACCAAGTGGATATGTCCCCCCACAGCCTCCCTCAACTCCTGTCAGTGTTACTTCTGATTCTTCGGCTTCAGGACTCGCACCTACAATAATTACCACAGAATGTCAATCAAGGAAGGGAAAAGGGAAAGGGAAAGGAAAGGGTAAGGGTAAAGGAAGAGCCAAGAAGAAGACTCCAGCAGCTAATGTATATGATCAAGATGAGGACTGTGCAGTATGTAATGGACATTATGTTGATGGTGAGGACTGGATAAGCTGCGATATTTGTAATTTGTGGTACCACAGGGATTGTGCAAATTTACAGGATGATGAGGAATGGTCTATTATCAGTGAGCCTGAGGGGGTCTATACTTGCGCACTCTGCCAATAAGATGGGTATACATGTACGTACACTTATCTGCATGTTTTGTGTGTTCTGAAACATAATATCAATTAATCAATACATGTATTTGCTCATTTATAAATTATTTTATATGGTTTCTGATACTTGTAATGTATTCAGTTTATATTTGTTTCTTTCAAATTACATGTAATTTTTGCCCTTAGTTAATGATTCTTTAATTATTCCAATTGTTTGCAACCAAAATAGTGTACTCTTTTCTATTAGAAGTTAAAGATTTTAATGACAGTAACCATACATTAAGTAGCTGTTATTTCTTTCAAGATTAAGACTACCTATATACCTATAAAGTGATTATCTACATGTATTGCATTCAACACCTTAATTAAGGAGTGAATTCTCAGAGAATATAAATGTTCATCAATGGAAGGATGCATGTTTCAAAAAAAAAAAAAAAAAAATTCCCTTAATTATTTTTTTTTTACAGCTATATTCCATACCTTTGGTTTTACACCATGATGTACTGGTAATTGTGCTCCTTCACCACCTCCTACATTAGATTTTCGAGATATTGAAGCTTGCCCAAGAATTACTGAATTAACTGAATGACAATAACCTAGGTAAGTTGGATTAGTATTGGCCCCGTTATATAATGTTCTCTGCTGACAGAACATGTTCTCAATCACATCACTATTGACGCGACTCGGGATGATGGATGCATTGCAAGACTTTAATTTGTATACACACAACTCTTCAAATCCCATAATTGAAGAAATTATATCTCCCCTTGTCTGGTGAGATATGAGATGTTTTTCCTTGTTTTTAATCAATTTATCCTGTTTGATTGTCTGTTCCCACTTAATGAACCATTGCAGTGCATCATTGTTTTCCTTCAGTCTGTCATCACTGACATCAGTGATTGGTCTAGAGTCTCTAAAGTTCCTTATTAGTGCACTAGTATGGGTCAACATTTCTATCGTTCCATCCAGCTTGTGCCCAGCATCACCTAAACTCTCACGATAAAGTTTCATTAGATGCAACATCTCACTGTTTAACACATCTTCAGCCAAATGATTCCTCATTTTACTTTCTGATGTTAAGTAGATATGTTCCTGTGTGAGTTTGTGATGGATAGGAAATGGGTTTGTAGAAATGTCCCACAGATATGCCCCTTTGAAGTGATCCCATTCTATAAATGTGTCCTCATATTTCAAATGTCTTTTACAGAATGCAGCTTTTCCACTTTTTGATACATTATTTCTTATTTTTTTCAACACATGTGATATGTCCATGATGAAGAATAACTTCTGATTTTCATTCTGAGAGAAAATGTTTTTGAATGAACATGTAATTGGATTTAAAGTATCAAAATTTGGTATCAATATTTTGTACAAGTCTCGATTGCTTTGGGCACCATCTGTACTGATATATTGAATTGTGAACCCAAATGTTGAAACCATGTTTACAGATTTCCATATAAGTAAATAAAGTTCATGACCTGATGCAGTATGAGATGGAAAATGGGCAAATGGGAAGCGAAAACCGGTGAAGCCCAAAAATACTAATTGCAAAACATGAGTAGCTAGAGTTTTTTCTCTTTTGCCGTTTTTCATTTGATCAAAAACAATGGACTCTGGAGTACATTCAGTAAATCCAATCAATTCAATATCATTATTTTGTTTACGAAATTGTAAATCTGGTTGTATCGACATTTCGTCAATGATGAGTCCGCCTTCATATCCTGCAGGGGGAATATTCTTCAATTTGGCTTCATTAGCCATCCATTCAAGCATATCTTTTTTAATCCCACCCTCTTGGTGAACAGAGTTCTTGTACTTTCGTAATAAATTCTGAGAGGGTAATATCAGAAAATTACTGTTCCTCAGTTCACTATAACCCCTTGGACTTCTGCAATACAATGTCAAACATAGTCTAACAATTTCTTTACTCCATCTTCTGCCATTTGGGTTTCGCTCTAAAGCCATTTTTTGGTTCATTAGAAATGTTTGCATTTTCAAAGAACATTCAGGAAAAATTGTCTTTAAAATTGTACTCAAATCATCATGATCAGTTTTTTGTAGTATAATCTCATCATATTTTGTAACTTGTTCTTTGTGTGTAATGTTGTCATCAGTATTTTGTGCATCACACTCAGATTTATTCATTTTTGGTTTCATGTTCAATTTTTTACAGTTCTTACAAGTTGAATATGATGAGGCATTTGATGTGTTAAATGGCAGAACTTTGAAACACTTTTTGGACCTGAATTGAAGAATTTCACTATTCTCATCACCAACACTACAAATATGTTCCTGAAAATGGGGTAATTCTTTTCTTTCAATGGTATTCACTCCTCTGCAGTATTGAAGATGTCCAATGATTTTAAATAATGATTTCACAGACTGAGAAGTTAGTGAAAAGTGACTTTGTAAACCTAAATTTTCAGGGTCAATTTTTTTCCCCATCATATTAAGTGAATATTTTCCATCTGACTGTAAATCAGTTTCAATCATGGATTTCCTTCCATTTATTATTTCTCCAGTAAAGTGTCCAATTTTTATTTCTTTTATATTGTTTGTTATCACAAAAAAGTCTGGTGGTAATAATGAGGGAATATTTATAAACTCTATTTCAGATTGAGTGGCAGACTCCATGTTCCATGAAAGACCAAAATATCTTTGTGTTAATTTGGACCAGTCTTCTGTTGAGCGAACTGCTTTAACTATAACATTCTTAAATGTTTTTTTAATTACATTACCAATTGCCCTACTGGTAACATCAGATTCATATTTCTTTTTGATGTCCTCCGTGTCAATATATTGACTTTGACTGCCTTCTACCAAATTTTCCAGCACCCAAGATGATAAAGAATGCTTGCAATTCATCGCGGCTTGATTTTAATTATTATTTCTTAAATTAGACTTTTTTTCGATTTTGTAAATATGCGCCAAATTAAATTTTTCGTAATTCTCTTACCTTTTCATTGTTTCCATGTACACTCGGAACTTCTCAGTTAAGCAGCAGAGTTATCCTCCTTGCGATAGGTGACGTAATGCCTTCACTTCCGTTGGATAAGCTTTGATCAGTTCAAAAAACGATAACTTGTCGGTGAAAATCATGCCATTTGACCCAATAAATAAACTTATATTATTGTGACATGCAGATGTTTAGTGAAGGAAATATTTGGGACACGGCGTGATCAAACCGTTTTTACTGGTAAGTACCGTTTTATAGTACATTTTAAAAAAAATTCCTTGGTAGTGCCTCTCGGATGACAGACGAAGTTGGCAACCTTGTTGTTTTTTATATATAGAGTGGGGAATTTTTATAAAATGTTTGTTTTTCGTAATTTTTCGGGCTGATTGTATGGATTATATCACAAATATGTTACTAAAAGATAATTTATGAAAAAAAAGTCGAAAAGGCCCGGGGGTCTATATTGAGGGGGGGGGGGGAGGGGAGTCCTGTCCTCAAGCACCTATGTAATAGACGTGTTATATTAACAATTTTAACATAAATACACACAATTGTCACAAGAAAACTGACCTTTAAGCATTGTTAATCCATTTTCACAAGTTCTCCATCCCGGATTTAAATTATGTGCAAGTAACTCTTGAAGTATTCAAAAATCTCTAATTCGGATAAAAATGGAAACTATTTTTACAAAATAATAATGAAACGAGAGAAATCGTCTACTCTGTTATAACTAACGAGACAGTATTTCCTCAAGTTTCGTTCAAAATCTTTTGATCTTTGTTTTAAATCTTTTTTTTTCATTTTTCGGGAAATGTAGAGTTAATATCGTTTAAAAATAAAAGAAAATATTTTTTAGTATTGTCAGTGAGGAAGTAATGAAGTATTTTTTAAGCTCAAATTTACATTTAAATTGTATTAAAATAGAAAAAATAAGTATAGGTAATAATATTAATTTTGAATAATATGCTAAATCAAAAGTGAATTGTCAAAAACTTTTTTTGAACATTAAAATACGTCTTCGCCAATTTTTCCAAATTATCCGACTTAAAATTTTCATTTTTTTCTAATAAGCTGTGGTACATAAACATTAGTTTAAATCCGGGATGGAGAACTTGTGAAAATGGATTAACAATACTTAAAGGTCAGTTTTCTTGTGACAATTGTGTGTATTTATGTTAAAATTGTTAATATAACACGTCTATTACGTACATTCAGACGTATTTTAGACGAAATGTCAGTTGAAGTGTAGACCGTCACCGGTTCGAGATTTACACGTTTTCCAGAATCAAAACATGAAGGCTTGCGAAGAGAAGTGGATGTAGGCGAAAGCCTGTCCACTTCTCTAAAGAGAATACTGCAGGCATTACCTTGACAAAAATTGCATAAATAGTGCATCTAGGGATGCTACTAAATTATTAGTTTAGTGTGGGACTTTGCCTTACTTAAATACATATATATATCATTCTTATAGGTGAACTGTGTATTCTCTGATTATCTATGTTTTACATTTATTTGTATATAAAACATTATTAAGGATCTGAAAAAAATCATTGAGTGATTGGCCAGGGTAGAAAATCACTCAAGTGAAACAAATGCATCAGAGTTTATATAGCGGGTATAGATACCCAAAGAAATATAACGTATAGCAAAATAATTATAACAAATTAAATAATTCGTTTTGATGCATATTTTCATTTTCTGATAGATATATATAGACTTTGTTGAAGTAGGATATTATATATACTTTTACAAGTGTTGTAATCTTTTTTTTTTTTGATTGAATGTGTTTTTGAGTCCAGATTCTTTGGCAAAAAGAAAAAAAATACATTTATTCCAAGCTTAATTTGCACTAGTTCAGATTTACTATGTAAATTGGGTGCATTTCGTTTAAAAAAAGAAAAACTCTTATGTCAATCTATTAAACATCTCATCCAGAATGACAACAACATTTTCAATTTTAAGTTTTATTTTTTACATCACCATTGTAAACAAAGTATAACAGATAATAAATAAGCATTGAAATGTGACAATTGTCATAATGTGAATCGATTGATTTTTTTTTTCTCTTAACATTGTCCTGTCGAGGAGTTACTTAATCGTGACAAAATATTTCGTTACTGTCTCGAACAAATTAATCACAGGTGCCTGTTAGCTAATGGAAAGGTCAGTTCAGAATAACAAATAATGTATTTTTAAGACAATCAAGTGAACATTTTACCTGTGATAGACACGAATAAATGCAAATCATCTTTTTATAAATATTGTCTCATGAGGTTATGAAAAAAATTAAATTTTTTTTAAAGATAAAATTTCATAAAGTTTTCATAAAAGTAATATAAAAGAATGTTTCTCTTAATGTATGTGTTTTAAAAAACCACAGTATATTTTTTTGCATGGGGATATTAGTAAATTAGTGGTATGTATATACACACAATATAATAAATGATATTTTCAACATAGTAGGAAACCTAAGCCGTGTCATTCACTGCAAAATATATTATCAAATACCTAAACAAAATTTTTGAATTACTTAAATGGTACCACGTTTTTGCACGAACACATTTAAATCATACAGTGAAGCAGTAAATATCGCATTCTTTGGCACACAGTAAGTTGAAAGTGACTTAACCCATCAAATAAACACCAGTACATCGTCTATCTGATGAAATTCAATAATTCCACTATAAATATCCATGCAGAATTTCAATAGCTAGAATTTACACGAATAAATGAAGTAGAGAACGTTAGTTCGTCTGAAAGTGAAGCATTCTTGACAGGCAAACACAAACCGGTGGATCTCATATCACTCTCTTAAAAAGTGTCTTGAGTAACCAAAGGCCTATGCTTGAAGATCTGTAATCCTGAAGGAAAATTGCACATGTTTTCATAATTAAAAATCATGAAATCCTCTGAAATAATGAGACGATGATCCTTCACTTTCCAAGACTAGTATCAACATGGCCTGGAGCACTATTTTGTAGAATGTCACCACAATTTTAAATTAAAACCCTGGAGAAAAAAAAAAACAAACAATTTTTTCGATTAGAAATATTAAAAAGTTGAAATTAACATTAATTGTCATGAATTAAAATGATTATATGTATAAAGGTAAGTTTGAATTCCTTGGAATACAAAGTATCAAAATGAGTTACCTCAACCGTTAACCAATGGATTCCAGCGCTACACATTGACCATTTAGACAAACCTAAAGAGAAGAAATAGGAATATATACATTAGTATGGCATTTATAACTGAATTACATTTAATTTTTTGTTAACTTCAAAATTATCTACTATATGTATTCTAAAATGAATCTAAAAAGTCGACGTTTTTTGCAAACTTACATTTGCCTTGCCACACGCTGTACCGTCTACTGCAGGCTCGGATCGCGTGTATCTCCATTCTCCCTGACGATCATCACAGCATAAATGTTCACACTGTTTTGGTCCCTCCTGCAAAATAATATTCATCACTTTATTTCACATCTCATGTAATATACGATGAGATTTTTTTCAGTATTATCTTTTATATATGAATTAATAAAATCTTAAAAATTATTTTATTAAAGATTCTGTATATTGACATTTTATAGGACCATGATTAGATGAATCTGAATTACTTCACAAGGTGGACCTCCAGTAAAACGTCTACACTGTTCGTGTAATGTCATGTATTTTCCAGGAAAAGTGGTTGGAAATTGTAAACTTTCTTTACTGGATCTCTGCATTAAGCACGAAGATCTGTCCATTCTGAGAAAATTCTGGAAACTTCGAATTGAGCATTCTGAGAATCTGCTAAATTTAAACGAATCATCTCTTGTGTAGCTCATGATGAATCCAGAGGAAGAGGAACAAGTGCTGGCCTCGGACTCCCCATCATGGTAAGCCCCCAGACTAAAAAATACATTGCAAAGATAAACTTATGTATTTCCGAATAAAATGAAGTCAGAGTTAAGAAAAATAAAGAAAGGTCATTAAATGTTTATACTTACAGGTGCCCAACTTCGTGTGCTGCTATGATGACTCCGTTGAAACTGGTAGAAGCTTCCCCAATACCAAAATTGAAGGCACTGCCACGTAACAATGGAGCCGACAGGCATGCTCCTCTAACATAGGCCACACCTGGAAAGTAGGCAAGTAGTTAATGATTTTTTCCGGGTGGTCTCTACCTCGTGATAAATATTGATAATGTATTTCATGGGGGATGTTTTAAGCATAGTTTTAGAAATTAAGAAGATTCTGACATCTGTTTCTTTTTGAGTATAGAATTTACCTGCAGTTCCTTTAACACATTCATTAGAGTCTTTCGGTCCATCCATGGATGAGATAGGCATTCCTTGTCTAATGGCTGTCAAAACGTTTGGACTGAATGGAGTAATGGTATCGCGGTGCTTGACTTTACGACAAGCGTTTTCTCTGTTAAAGAATAAATATGTATATATGAATACAGTTATTAACCACAAACTACACTTAAGAGGGCTGGGTGGTTGTGGCCATTTTCAGACTATATTGATCTCCTTTAAAAGAAGAGCTCCATATAAAGATATACAAAAATGATCAAATTTTGAAACTAAAATGTATGAAATTTTTGTTTGCCAAATGATAGTTGACAGCTTAAGATATCATATCTAAAAAATTAAGTTATATCTGATGGTTAATTTGTTGACCCCCCAGCCTCCTTAAAATTAACTTTTTTAAAATACAAAAAGTCAGTTTTCCAATTATTGATTTAAGTAAATCCATCTTTTAAAAAAATTAGTTATTCTTATACAATTATTTTAATTTATTTCGGAGTTTTCACTTTGAGCATGTAAAATGAATGTCCTTTAGAAAACACTAGCAAGTTTAATTTTCTTACCCAGTTTGCAAAAATGTGATATCGTGTACAGGTAAAACATTCTCGTATCGTATCAACCATTTCTGCAGACTATCCATGGCATCATACAAGGAGAAAAGCTTACTCCCTTTGTATATACGACTGTTCTCGATGAATGGTTGAGCATTTGGTTCTTTAAAAACACCAATTTCCCTGATTTTCAAATCGATAACAGGCCATTGTCCTGCTAAAGTGATTGTCAAATACTTCCAATTTACCTGAAATATGAGATTAAACGCTACAGTTTTTGTTATGCCTTGAAGGTTTGTTTAGAAATAAAATATGAATTTACTCAATCAGAACACGAATAGATGATATACTTACTGCATGCCAGAAATGAAGTAGATATTCCAGTAATTCATTCGAGTCTCCTTCAAAGGCTCGGAAGAGTGCATGATCTACAAACAACAGTAATTCTGGTTCTATCCTCGGAGATCTGTACTGTCTCTTTTTTCGTCGATGACTTTTTTGCTGTTTGGTTTTCTCTTGTACATGTACTTTTAGTTTGTCAACATAATCAGGAACTGAAATAAATAAAGTTTTACAATGAGCAAGGATATTGCATATGTGTGAATCTGACCCTGGAAAGCTCTTACTTTCAAGTATAAATGTTCATTTTAGACATTTGACATTTCGAGTGTTGAGGTTGGGTGTTTGATGGTTGGTAATAATGTGTTCTGAGTAAAAATGCAAATCACCATTTAAAGTATCATATCCGAATTCAGAGTCTTCTTTATCCTTTTTCCACAATGTGTGTTTGACTGCAAACAAATCTCTCTTGTGGCGTCGTCCGGCATTTGGAGGTGCAACCATTAGTTCGTCAAACAACACTCCTTCCTACAAGAACATTATGAAATTTTATTTCATATTCCATTGCAAATAAGACGCTATCTGAATAATATTCGGAAGGGTTTCCTTCGCAGAAGTGTGAAGCGAATACAGAAGAGAGGCATAAAGTGCGTGTCTAAAATGACAAATTATGTATTATGCTTGTAAATATTTTATAGGACACTGGTACGTCTAACGAAATTACACAAAGCGTATGGTGCTCTCACTGTCATTATAAACAGTGGTCGATTTAAAATAGCTCACATCAACATAAATCAACTCCGCAGCTCTAGGAATTCCTACAAAAATCGGGCGACGGTGATTATTTTTGTCAAATATTCTATTTATGGCCATACTTAAATAATTTAAATCGATTTTTAATGTTAGATATGTACATTATCCTTTTGACCTCTCTTTATCATCCTCACGCTGGAGAGTTAACGGGATTTCTTATATGATGTGGAATGTGTGTGTATAAAGTGGACCCCCTTGTCGGAGGCCCTTACTTACTACGTAGGTATGATTGGGTGTAGATCCACCAAGGCGATGAGATCGGATGTTTAAAAAAGTTCCTGAATTAATGTCGTGGTAAAAATTCATGGATTTGGCTATTTTATGTAAATCAACCTGTAAAATACATGAACAATCAATTAAGAAGTAGAATTGGCAACTTCTGACTGTATTTTTAAAAGACATTTTTCATGCAGATGTTCCTCTCATTCTAAAACCACGACCGAGAATAAATCATTTTGTGGTACATCACTATGTTTATGCATTATATATACACTTTTTGTATCCTTTACATCAATACAAAAATAAAATAAACTTTATGCACTGGTCTTAGAAAAAGTCAGATTAAAATAATTACTGGTTTATATTCTTCCTTGAATATAGTTTTTCCTGTTTTGTCCACAGATACTGATAAATATCGAACATCCTCGTGAAACAAATTATGATTCACCCTTTGAAGTTCAACATTATAAATATTTTCAGGGGTAGATAGTCTAACTCCTAGCACTTTGTCAACATTAGGGTCTCCAAGCACATGGATATCTGCTGGAACACTTCCTTGGATACCAGGCACGTGCGCCTTACTTTTTATTCCTGAAACGTGTTGATTTCTCGAGACACCTAGAACACAGTTAAATATATGAAAAAATAATAATAATAAAAGTGTAAATAAATAGATAATTTATATAAGTTGCTATTTGACCTTAGGATATTTAGAGCATATATCCTGATTTTAGCAAGTTTAATTGAAGAATTTCATGCACCATCACAGAATAAAGGTACCAAATACACATAAAACTGAGAAAACTTTAACTCTATTTATAGAAACAATATCTTCCCAACAAGTGCAATACTTTAATTTTACCTGGTTGCCAGGGTCTGGACGGATTCCATCGATTAATTGGATGTCGTGTAAGCTGTAAAAAATGAAAACGTCATCATCATTACTGGAAAAATGACAACAATTGAAAAACAACAAGCTGTTTTCAATCATATTTCTATTTCATAAGTCAAATCACTAGTTTTCATAATTATGTATTGTTCTTAACTTTTTTCAAATGTTTAGAAATAGTCCTTTAATACTATTTCACATTCTTTATATATTTTCAAAGTGTGGATCTGCTACTTCTTTTTACAAGGTGCAAATTTAGGTCTATTGCCCATCGAGGGTCTAGTTACCTACTTTGGGCTACCTATAATCATCAATGGTCATTTTTATGGTAAAATGATAGCAGAATAATTGTTTTTATCTGTCCTGATATTGCCTTAACGGCTAGTAAATGGCGTATGTAGTCTGTGGATAGCTAACAATAATTACTGTTGGAATTTGCAACTGGACAAGAAACTTCCACATCTCTTTTTAATGGACTCGAGTACAAAGAATGCATGGATTTAAGACATTTATATTCATTATTTTTATCTTCCGATAATAAAATGAACGGTGTTTTATAGCAATGATATTTTATTTCGTTTTTCTACTTTAATAAAATGTAAACTACAGAAATGGACATTTTTTTCATTTAACACTCTTTTGTTTTAACTTTAATTATTTACACTCCATTTGAAGTAAGAACACATTATTGTTGTATAGGATACGCTCATTCATTCATTCGAAGCATATTTATTCATTTCACGTCAAACTCTAATGCATTATCGTTAGACGGAGGATGTGATACATATCAGTTATTACATATCGCCTGAATTGATTGTTTTGTTACAAATACAATAGAACTGTTCTCTCTGTTTTAGATAAAGAAAATAAACATGATCGATAAATATTGATGAGGTAGATCGAACATGTTTGAGTTTTACATACGTTAGGGGTCGTTGAAGTTGATCAAAAACGTTTTAGTCTCGCATAAGTACATGTAAAACTAATTTGAACAATAAAAAATATACAATAACAGTTTCATCTCCTTTTTTTAATTTAGTCGTAGAAACAAGAATTTATACCGTTAAATAAATAGTTACACAAATAATTTTCTGAAATATGTACATTTTCTTTGTCAAGTGCAATTGTTTTATTGGCAATATAACAACATTAAAAATTAGTGACCTAATCTATCATCTTATCAAAACCATGTCGAAGAACTCGTATTTATAATCAATATATTGTTGAAGATCAATATGTTAGGGCTCCGCCCTATACACAAAGAAAATTAAGTAATGATGATTTTTTGAATTTCCAGTGGAAACGACGGAGTGTTATAATTCAAGGGATATTAATTTCTGAGTCATAATTATTAATATATGTTCATTCAAATGATTAAAATTCAATAACCTTGACGTGACAAGTACGATGCCAATATTCCATTTTTTATTAATTGAATGTACAGAAATATTAATGAGCTGGAATGACAGAACATGGCCAAAATAATTGATGGTAGCAGTCTAAGAACGACCAGTGTCCAGATATAAGGAAGTCTGTTTTATGTTTCCATAAGTACTCCACAGATTAGTGGGTATAATTAATATGACAGAATATGACAGTGGCTTTTATTTTTCCAGACTAGTTAGACAGCATAAGATAATTATAAAAACAACTTTAATAAGCAAGAATTAAGAGTATTTTCAAGCAAGCATTATAAGATTAAAGGACGTGTTTCCTAAAGAATGCATTTGATAAAGAATTAGACGTGAAATTCTTTCAAACAAAATAAAATCATTTCTTTTTACGTATAGGGAAAGTTTTAGTTACAAGAATTTAACTCTTTGTAATTTATGAGATAGACCTAGCATTTATTAACAGGATGGCAATTCTTTGTTAGATCTTTCGCTTGCATAAAGAGTCTTAAGTCTAATTTCTTAATTTAACCTTTCAATAATTATGATAATCAGACAAGTCTGTTCGGTGTTCATTTATACAGATTTTCGGGTTGCCCTACTCATTTATCAAACTTTTTGGTTTAATATAATAATCAGTAATAATGAAACGATCACAAGACGTAATTAATAGAGCGACTTGCAAATTAACATTTTTTGACACATGCAGTAATGGCTTTTGCACGTTTGCAAGAGACGCCATTCCATTTCCGTGTCCAAAAGTTGAGAATGAACTTTGATTCAATAGAAAATTAATAACTTAACCAGAAAAAAGTTAACATAGTTCAGTCTTCAATTAAAAATACATTAAGAGTTGAACAGTTTTGCCTTGCTTTATCCCATTTTGTTGTTGTTGTTATTTTGTTAAAAAATTTAATGATTAAGCTATTATTATACTTCAGCAATATGTCAAGTACTCCTACAAAACCTACTTAAAAATAAATAACTGGTAAAAAGAGTATAAGATTCACCAAAGAATTTTCATAAGTTTAGAAATCATTTTTGACAGCAGTTAATAAATATCATCCAAGACTTGAAAAGAAGGTTGTGGTAGACCAAGCAATTATTGCTAGAAATGAAACAGTCGGTTTAAGCGATCATCTAATGATCTGATGACAAAGAAGTAATTAAAACATCCAATCGTCGTCTTAATTCGGATGTTTTAATTGATGTCTGTATTTCTAAATGCAAAATAAAAACAAATTTAGTAGTAATCATGTAATTAAGCTTTCTTAAATGTTATATGAAATATTCACAGAATGTTTTATAGCAGAAAGAGTTATGGTTAAAAGATTTAACAAGATATTCGACGAATGACAAAGGGAAAAACACATTAAGGGAGCAAAAGTGTCAAAACAAAGATATAAACTACATAGCTTTGCCAAAATAATATTTACGATTAAAAATTGCCTGACACGGTGGGCAAAACAAAGCTTATAGAAAGGTTAGAGACCCTAACTTAATAAAAACCCCTACTCTTTATCATACGTCCTATTGTAACACAGTTCTGTAATAATAAAATAATCAGTCCAAAAACCTATACCAAAACAGTCACTGGAAAGAGGATTTAACCTTCATGGTGTATTGCTCTTCATCTTGCATATTTCAATTATATCAGATAGATTAGGAAAATACAATAACATAGAATATACTTAATCCTTTGTCATCTCGGGTGATTTATTTAAGAAGTCATGGTATTTCAAGATTTGAAAATACCCTATAAGATTTAGTGTAAGCTACACCATGAATGGCTTCCACAGAGGAACTACAGCAAGTATGATGCCAGGTGGCTGATTGATAGTATTTGATACCCCCACTTTGCGACGATTCTCAGCACCATATGCTGGTAGCAGGAGAGATATTTGGTATTTGGGTGAGTGTGTAAATCATAATTTCCGACTGTTACTGATAAATTACTGATGCAGAGAGCTGAATTTTAAATTTAGTAAAATGAATCCGACTTCACTTCGGACAATATCCGAGAACCCGATGAAAATCACGTAATCATAGATTGTGGTTACCCTTCATACAAAATCGTCGAAGCAAATTTTGTAGTTACATATACATTGTCCTCTATTTCACTGATTTATCTTCATCAGCAGTTTTATTTTTTTAGGACATGGGTAATTTAACTGTTGTAAGATGTTCAAGTTATAAAATGAGACTGGTAAGTATTTCAACAACTAGAATTTCTTTCTAGAGTATTTGATTCTTGACTTAAAGAATTAAGTCGTAAAAGTTCAAAAGCAATATATTTTATTTGGAACATGAATACATACAGCCAATTATCATCAAACAGACAAATTCCGATTTTTTTTTTTTTACATTATAGAACAATTCGAGAGAAATGTAAAACTAGTTTCTATGGACGAAAATGGCAAAAGAAGCAATACTTGGATTTCCTTGTGACATAGCGACACCTGCAGACATCGTGAGAAGTTTTACTAGCAGTAAGTAATCAATTATCATAATTACAAAAAGTCATTAATGAGCCCAAAATGGACACCTTGGTCGCTTAGCCACTACCACGTATTCTTAAAAACTTCTTGCTGTCATGATTTCATACCTGTCCCACAAACGTTTATTATTGTGTTCAGCATAAAACATGCAAGTGCATCTACAAAGTGTGTTAACAGACCAATCTACAATGTTAACAGAGGAAAGGGACTATTTAACATAAGAAACACATGTAAACGTGGGTAAACGGCATAAATATAAAGCTACATAAAACTACAGTTCAAATGAAGGCTATATCAGTTGGTTAACCTTTAAGATGAACATTTTTTCCAAGAATTTAGAACCATGGTTTTATTTTGAATCAATTGTAAAACCTTTTTATAGTTATGTTTCATTTTTTCTTATTGATATAAAAAATACTTTTTAACCATTTGTCATTTTCATATCTTCAATTAACACTTCATGTTGGTACTCGCATTTAATGCAAATGTCAGATATATTTACATTTTTGTCTTTGTTGAAGAAAATGCATGCTTAGTTATTTTACATACAAGTCGGTAGAATAGAAAATAAAACAATAGTTAGCAAAGTATTATTCCGCAAATAGAACTGTAGATCGTATTTTTGGAGCATTTTTAGTAGAGACACTGAGTCACAAATATTTCTTCAGCTTCAAGAGTTCATCAATAGCATACAGAAAATATCAAGGTACATGCCAAGAGAGAGAGAGAGAGAGAGAGAGAGAGAGATTACAAACATTTTAGGAGAACAGTCTTGAAAAAGAAGATATGTTGATTAAACTTTCCTTCCTGACATACTTTATTTTAACAAATAAAATATCATGTTGTATATTTTATTTGCTAAAATAAAGTATTCTAGGAAGGACAATACCACAAGATGCTTTCGTTTCAACGACGAATGCATTGTTGTCAGTGGTAACAATTAAGATACACATTACTGTTCTGGGAGGGTTGGAACCTTTCAAAATTAAGTGGACATGTCTGAGACACATCGGAACTTCCTTATAATCCTAACCTTATGGAGAGAAACGATAATGAAAGGACAAGAAAGGTGTCTATTTACAGAAATAATCCAGGGTTGATGTAGAGTTAACGAGGCAATTATGTTTCTTGACACCTAATATAAAGGTTCTGTAAAAAACCTCCATTAATATCTTTCATGGTTAGACATGGTCTTGTATAACAAAGATAAAGCAAGCTGACAATTATTTATTCATATGTTAATGAAAAAAAATCTAAAACTTTTGTACACTAAATACCCCAGTTGTCGTTCATGGGAGTATTCGATCTGTATTCCTTTTAATGCATATCGTAAAGAACAATAAAAAGAGTTAACACGATAGTATTCGTATTACTGAGGAGTATAATCCTCGTATTTAAAAGTATATTAATCATAATTTTGAAATAAATGTTGATAGCTACTTTCTAAAATTAGTTTAAAATTTGCGGACACTAGCAAATATTTCTCAGTACTTATAAAAAGATACATTGGGGTCAAAGAAGGAACGATTAACGTCAAGTCCGTGATGTAATTAAACAAATAAGATATGCTTACGTTGTTCACATCCAAATACCTACAGACTTGTATAAGATTAGCACACACAACATCAGAACTGCTTCCCTGAGGGGTTTCTACCCGTAATGGAGTCAGTGTTAGTGTATCCAAACTATTGCCCAAGGCCACTTGGCTAAATGATTCACAGCAGGGTTTGTGTTATTCGTATGTTTTACTAATCTGTGTTAGCTCTAAAGGCGATCCTTTCACAATTTTGTTGTTGAAGAATCTAATAAATTAAGGTGTAAATCACCGAAATTTATGTAGGAGACAAAAATTTGAAAACGGTTTTGCCGTTGTAAAGGCATAACAAATAAGTTGCATTGTGTTCCGAACATTAAAATGCACAATCAAGAATATCTATTTTTATTAAAAATTGATTTAAATTTTCAGGATTTTGAAGGTAATATATTCAGACCTAATTTATTCCCTTTAAGATTGATTGAATTAGCTGCACCACTACTAAGCTAAATACTGTTTTTGAAAAATGACATCTGACGGAAATGCATGGAGTCCAACCATTTTCTCTTTTCTCGACTGTCACCATAAATAACCAGATAGTTCTTGGGAACTTCCAACTGTACGGGTTAAAAGTATTTTTAAATCAAGAAAAGTACTTCAGCAAAAATATGTAAGTAAGGCATGGGACATATGCTTGATTTTAACGTTTACTTTTCATTTACATGTTACAGGCTCCATCCTTTGTTTTGCATTCACTCTATCAGATGCTGAAAAGTCTGAAATAACCTGCAGACGTCACTATGACTCAAGTCATAAATACTGGAAACTTTTCGGTCTGTGCAAAGCTATAATATGTAATGCAATAAGAGCAATCGTTAAACAGACATAGACCCATCCTGAGAATTACTTAAGACTATAGCAATCAAACTACAGATATATATGTATATATACGGAAGATAGTACAGGCATCTGGTTGTTACGCAAGTATATAAAAGAATAAAACATATAAAAGGTTTTGAGGTGATTTTTGATGTATGCAAATTTAAAACATTTCGTGTCAAAATTTGGTAAAGAAATGATAATTATCGATTATTTTTTAACGAGGATTATCAATCAAGCTTATTAAAGCATACCGCCTCTCATATATATAATGCTTCTATATTAAGACCACAGTTACCATTTGAGACATAATTTAAGAAATGATTGTGCACTTTGTATTGTTCAAACGTAGCAGTACCTGACATGATGCTGGTTTTGATTTTTGAAGTGAATTGAACATATTTTTTTTTATTGAGAAAGTCGAAAGGATAAGACACAAGTTCTATAACTTAGATAGTCTTCTTATACAGAATTTTATAAAATTGCCGTAATAGAAGTACGATTATTTTCAGTAACAAATCAATTAGTAATGTCAAAGACTGAAAATTCTTGATACACAGAATATAATTCTATAAATAAAAATTAAGATTGTTTAGAAAATATACCACATTCTTTTTAAAAAGTATGAATAACTTTTAAAAATTCTACATTTTGTTGATTTTTTGCCACCTAGGCCTAAAAAATGTGAGGATCTAGATGGGAAATTGTTTGTAAAATTGAATATCTGTAGATTTAATATAAGGCATACATTGTATATATAACTTAAAGTACTTCAAATCACCATAAACTAAAAATGGTAAAATTGTATGGATTGTAAAATTTTCACTCAAAAACAATCTCGCTTTAAATACATAGTAAGTTCTCCAGAACAAAGGAATCTTCTTTATAGAGTCACTTTGCATACTGAAACCACGTACATTGAACATTATTTCTGTCTAAACCATAAGAAACTCTCATATCTACAAAGCTTCTTCGTCAAATATGATTCTTGTAACTGTCCACAGCTGGTGGAGATTTGCCATAGCATAGCCTATCTTGTCAATGTCCTATAAGACAACTGTTGTTTTTAATCAAAGACAGCATGATAACAAGTCTTATTTTTTGACCTGTGCCTAAAAGGAATATTTGTTTACAAATTAATGTGATGAAAGTTTCTTCACTAAACAAATCAAATTATTTTTAATGCTTTTCTTAATAAAGAGATAATGCACTATATAATGGAATATTTTCCTGCGGAAGTGCCCATAGTGACGTCATAAATCAGTGCGTTTCCTATATTCCCCTTTTATTCCCTATTATTAATTACTCGTGACCCTTTAAATTTGACATTCTAATTAAAATATTGAAAGAGGAAAACTTAAACCTGTTAAGGCAATTTGTGTTTCACTTGTGATGGTATACTTCAATTTTTTTTTACAGAAGAAAATTGAAGTTATTTTTGAATTTTTTAATATCATTTAGTCAAACCACGTTCTTTCACCACTAATTTACTTATGTGCTTGCCATGGGTCAAGAAAATGCCATTTAAATGTTAACTTTTTGTCAAGTTCTTCAGTAAACATTTCATTAGTCAATTATTTATCATAAAAAGAACTCTAATTTATTCAAAGAAAATTATCGAGTGTCGCTTTATAATCGTATATTTCCCTCTTGAAAAATGACAGCAGTTGATTTGAAATTTACATTTTGGTCGTTACTCAGCCGTCAAGAATATGTGATCAGACTGTCGATTTCATCTTTTTTTAAAAAAAAAAAAAATGAAATTCTGTTATTTCAGGTCATATCCTGAGATTTATAATTAAATGGATGCAATGACAATTGTTCAAGCTTAGGATCTGTTTTGTTTTTTTTAAAAAAGGATCTGTACATTACAATCTCAAAATGTCCTGCATCGTTAAAGCATTTTATCATTCCATATATAGCAAATGTTAGAATTTAATGAATCGCCAATTAAAAGCTTTAAAAATAAAAATATGAAGACAAATTATTTCTGTGAACTTATTACAAGATATTGCGATAGTGTAAAGATAGCATAAGGCTATTTCGTGCAAATATTTATGACAAACTCAACGTGTGCTTTACACGTTTGCAATAAATTAATTTCAGTGTAGCAAGTACCGTATTCGTTCTTCCTTTGATATTTTGTAAACGGTATACTCAAAAGAAAGTAAATATGCCAAACTTTTTTTTTTTTTATTTTAAATTAGTGTACTTATTGTATTTAAATATAAATTGTGACAATCAAAACTGCTGTCATCAAATACATTCAATAGGGGTAGATTTCTGAAGTAAAATGTTCATCATCTTACCTTATTTTGCCATTGTGAATAACTTGTGCACGTGGATATGAAGAGGGTAAGCAAATAAGTCTTGAAGATTTGTGTAAATTCCATAATAGATAAAAATATCACTCAATAAATAAATATATAAAAATAACAGAAATCAAATCACATCGACGATGGCCTTAATAGCTGAAGTTATTTGTAAAATCCTCATTGAAAGAATCTTTTAAATTAAAATGTTTTTTTCCATTCTGTTTCTGGTTCTATGTGTTGTATTGTAGACGATGCACCCCGGAGAGCTGTAATCGTGAACTTGATAACGAACAGGCTTCGCTGGATGTTAGTTGCGCTTGAGCTTTTTTCGTTGACGAGTTCGCCGATCACTCTGGAGAAAAAGCTAGCTCTTCGGAAGTAGTTGATTTTCCGTCATGCTCGTAATAGGGGTTAATCACGGTCGTACGTTCGCGTAATAGTGCCTTCGTTGGTCACGCTTGACTGCTTACTGTCTTCAGGGCAACTTGTTGGAGATCAAATAGTTGGTTACCTGTGTTTTCAGACTTTACTGCTGTAAAATAGAAAATAATTTGGCATTTTTATGAGAAATAACATCATATAACTTGTTGTTATATTAGAAATTATGATTACTTAAGATATCCTGTATCGCCAGTAGAAAATATAGGAACCACAAAAAAGGTGTAGTACACAGTTATCAGGTTATAGGGCTAAACAGCTTCTGGGTAATGACAGCGTTTTCTAATTTCTTATACACAAAATGCCAATAGAATAATAAGATATAAGAAATATCATTTAAAATCAAATCACGTAATTAATGTCTTTTTTGACGTGTTCTGAATCGAAATAAATTGGAAAGCTAACTTTACCAAATTATTACCTTATTTCAAAAACACAACCAAAAAAGGGTTTTGGCAAGAAAGAAATATTCAAGTTATAATCAATACAAAGTATTTTAATTCTAACTGAGAATCAAATATTAAGTGATGTTGTTTGGAATAGTGTAGTACTGACTACTGAGTATCTGTAAGTGTCTGACCCGAAGAGAATCCATTATTTTTTGTGTTAAATGCTAAGAATGGTACACGTATTTTTACTCTAACATTTTGATAGACATCTCAAAAACTGAGTTGAATAAGTTTTTGTCTGACTATGGGGAAAATTGTTCATAACAAATTTTATTTCTATTTGAAGTCAAAATATTTATATGTTTATATTCAACTGCAGCATGCATTTCTTTTTCTTTTTTTTTTTTTAAATATTTTTCATAGAATTCTAATTAGTGTTTATATTGTGGAATGTGAAGACATCGATCATTAATATAAGCATGTATAATGCTCTGAAGACGGCTGTTTCACTTAAACTTAAAATATAGTTTTAAAAAAGTTACAAAACATATACAATTGAAGATAAAATGGATAAGACGTGGTTGACACAAAAATTCTCGTATTAAGTTGTATAAACGAAATGCTAAGCATTGCTTGTCTTATTGAAAGAATAAATATCCTGATAATTTCTTTGTTTTAAATTATTGGACATGTTCTGAATATTATAAAAAATTGCACTGAAATCATGTCAACTATCAAAATTGCAGGAAACTAATTACAAATCAATGTATTAAGCGATAGTAATGTGTTTTGTCAAATATACAAATTAGACAATGAATTTACGTTTACAATAAAACACAGAGCACAGACGAGCAGAAATGGTTATTGGTACCTAACGTTGTTAGTGTGATTATGCAAATGGACTAATTTGCATATGTCAATACCATATCACAAGGTTCAAATACTTTTAAGACGAGGATATGCACTTTGACATGAAATCATCAAAAGATGCCCGCTAGATAGCATATTATTCAATGCAATTAAATGAAAAATGAATTCCGATTAATAATAATGAAATTATTTATCTTCACATTACATCAGTATAATTGCAAGCATGCGATTTCTAGAGTTTTGACATTTTTTACAACATAACATATGTACAGTTTGTATTGATCTACATAATGATATTATGTTTACCTTACGTTTAATGTTTTCCTTACAACAAATTAGAATGAAATTATTTGGTTTTGCAATGATTAATTTTGATGTGATTATCAAGAAATCTTGACCTATAAACCTTTTATATGAATGTCAAGGAAATGTCTTAAAAATAACGTGTTTGACGTTGATAGATACCCAGAAATACATTACGTACTATGCAAAATATAATTTTGAACAGTCTCCTAATGATCATTATTACATAACTGTAATCTGCAGTATATATGCAATACAAATTAAAGATCTATCAAAAATTCTGAAGATTATTGAAATTGTAAATCAGTCAAACATTTTAAAACGTAGGTTTTGCGTCTATTCCTTGTTTTTTGAACCATAAAAAAGGTGACAATTGATAAAGTTATTGAAACCATTACATACCAGATCAATAAATGAATGATCGATGTACGTGATTGAATTAATTTTGCGCGTGATCTGACATTCTTTACTTCTAAATATTATAAGCATGTTCTTAGATTTTACCCTTGATGTTTCAAAGAACATTCTGGAGATACTAATTGTACATAAAACGTTATGTCTCCAAATCCTTTCTTAAAAAAGCTCCCCCTTCCTCACGCGTTCTACTGGCCTGGGGGTAACATTTCGTTTGAATTAGATGGCATCAGATTAGGTCTACATGAAAAATTTGACTTAAGTGAGAAGGTTTCTTTGCTGGAGAACCACGCGAAGACAGTTTGAGGCTTATTTAAACGAGCACTGATGATTATTGTTCGGTTAGAGTATTGAAATCTGACCTCGTGACTTTCTTGTTATACATTATTTAACTTAGTCGTCATATCTATCATTGCTTTAAGTATCAGGAGACCTTGACATGACAATTTCTGTGTTACTTTTTCCTCCCATTGCAGGTTAATCATAAATCTATACGGCAGATACATTGTAGAACATTTTCTGAGGGAAATGTTTCTTTTTTGATAAATTAAATGAAGCGCATAATTAATTAAGATGAATTAAAATCATTAGGCTGGTTTTTCCCTCCTAGTCGTCACAATGTCTCGAATTTGACCTTAGTGAAAGTGGCACTAGCTGATATGTATAAGAGGTTTACAATAGAATATCGAGAATGTTTAGAATCGTAATACAGCTCTGCAATAATAGTAAATGAAGCAACTTGTGTGTTTACTTCATATCTACGTGTTACTTATGTAAGAAAGAACCATATGCACGTGGAATTATTCGGCTTGTAACGAAACTAATTCTTAATTCATGATTTTCCTTAAGTAAATCTGACGGCTATTATTACCATATCTGCTGGATAAATTTACAGCAACATTTTGTGCATTCTCAGTATTATAAGAATATCTTGTGATCTTTAAATGTTAACTGTCTTTTTTGCAAAGCAAATATTGGCTACCTTACGGAGGTCATTTAATTTTTACAAAGGTGAAGTTACTGACATAAATCATTTTACCAAATAGTCTGTTTGTGGTCAAATTTTGGGAATGTTAAACGCTAATGTAATTTGTTTCTTAGAAGTACATTGGCTTAGCTATTTTCATAAATTTTAGATTTGTCTTCAAACATTTGTCAGGTTTCTCATGAAATATTCAATATTAAAAAAGCAAATACTTAAAAAAAAATTAATGTTTCCCTGCATCTGCGACGTAAATATATTTTAGTTATTTTCATTATTATGAAAAAATAGTTTAAAATGCAGCAACAACAGAAACATATGTTAATGAAAGATTTATCTCCGAAAAAGTATAGAAGTATTACATAAATTTGATACTTGATATAGAACAAGATAAAGCTATCTAATTTGGGCAAGTAGCAAGCACACTTATTCGAGCCAGTATAACACATGTTTAGATTGTTTAACTTGATAATACTTCTCGTTTTTTAATTTATATACTTGTTTAAGAATGATGAAAATAATGATCTGTAAAAAAAAAAAAAAAAAAAAAAAAAAAAAAAAAAAAAAAAATTAAAAAATGACAAAGGGATTGCAAGTATTTACCTTCAAGTGTATTAGGTTCTTGCATTATAAATACCTGTATTTTTAAAACATTTTAAATATAACTGCAAAGAATTTCTTTTTCTACTAAAACGACATCTTGACATATTTCCTTTCCATTCACAAGTAACAAAATCCTAGAAATATTCAAATACATATACCTCATCTGGAAAACAACTTCTTGCCATATGTAATTATGATGTTTACAGAAATGATGTAACGAAATGAAATAATTTCAGAGTCAAAATATGGTGTCTCTTGTTATGATTTAATGATACTCTAGGGAGACAAATTTTAACTTTATGAGACAACTACAGGGACTGATATTTAATGAATCTTAAGCTCAGCCAATGCTTTCTCAGTTTCCACTTGTAGTCGATTTGTATGGTGACAACCTTTCACAGCTAGTTACATCTTTTGAGAGATTCATTCGATACGTTTATGAATTTGACATATCAGTAGTGACACATTTAAAGTGATCTTTAAATTCGATAAATAAATTCCAAATCCCACTATCCAACTATAAAACATTGAATATCCTCTATATACGTATCACCTGTTTTTGTGTTTATTTATCCTTTTTGGTTTTCAACTCAAATGCATGTATCATGTACGATCAATTTATAAACCAAGACAGGCTACTGATGAATAAATTGATGTTACAAGGGTATCAACAATTTTGTTTAAAGTCACCATTTAGCAAATTCTACAGTGGATACAATGACGTCTATTTTGCAGTTACAAACCTGTCGCTACGTCGAATGTTGATTGACATTTTTTAATACATGTCTTTGAGCCTTTACTTACAAAGACAAAGGGCTGATGGCGAATGTGACCAGTCTAAAGGGATACTTGCACATCTCATCCATCTCTATTGTTTTTAGTCTGTTTCTTACTCTGTTCTCAATAAATGATATGAATGGAATTAAGAATTCAAATTAAGAAATTGGTGCCATTTAATGATTTTTTCATGTCTCCATAACTTTTTCAGGAATGATAAGTTGAAATGCTGTTACGATGCAATTCTGGGTCTTTCTGGATTTGCTTAGTTTGGTGCGATTTTTGATGAACATTTAAATTGCTAATCTAAATTGCCAGTCATCTTCATAACTTCGATGTGTTGCTGCTTATGATATATCTATTGTGATTTTACAGGCCTTTAATTCTGATATAAATTTAAGCTCAAACTAAAAGCCCTTTGAAAAATAAGTTTATTTTTAATGGGAAACAAATCTGTTTTAGGATGATTTAACGAGTTATAGAAGAAAGGCGTATTGAAAGTAATCATAATCAAATATTAAAATAGGTCAAGTTAAAAAGGTTTCAAAAATTATTTAAGTCAGCTTTCTTGAAAAATGACATGAGCATTTTTTGAATATTCTGTTCTGATATCATCTATTTAAGTAACCATTTTAAGATATGAAGCAATATGTCGAACTAAATTAGAGGATAAAATGTATTGCAAAATACCACATTAAGTGAATTCATTGGTGCAGAGGAGACAATGTGCATCGACACATTATCGGGAAACCTCTGCGGTTTTCGTTTTAGTTTGAAGTGCACTAAAATTTCCTGTTTGACACTAATGATCCACACCTGACGACGGGATAAATTAACATTAAATTTATACACGTACGAAGCAGTGTGTATATTGGAAGTTTTAGCATTTTATTTCAATACACCATCTAATGAACTTATGAAAGAGATTTGAATAGAAGAAAAGTAATCGATAATCGGTTAATACGCACAACTCTTAAGATACATATTAATAACCAGTGTTTTTATTAAATACTGCATGTTATCTTTATAGGTGTATATGTAATGAACCTTTTAACTGATACGAATGTGATAAATAAATGTACTTTTTTATCCCCCACCCGAAACATCAACCAGATCTACTCAATGCTCTTAGATTATTTTCAGGACAAAACCCCAACATAACGGTTTCGTTTGTCCCATGGCCAATGTTCTGTATGGCGTAATTCAAAGAAAGACAACTTTCTTCCTGTAAAATGAAAAAAGAAACCACTTCGATAAAAAATAAGATTTTTAAGGTGGTTAATTCCTAACAGATGAGATGCTATAAGGAACAAGATGTGTTTGTGAAACACTGATGCCCCCGTTTGGCAACTTATAGCAAAGATTAAACTTTCTCAAATGCAACTCAAATATATTGATACCCAAAGTAAGGTCTTGTCTCGAAGAATAAACCTGTGAAATATAAAAGCTCTAGCAGCAACCATTGAAAAGATATGGAAAAAGTTAAAGTTTTTTCAAAAGTATGTCAAACATCAAGGTCAAGGTCAAATAGTCAAAATTAATGGTGCCCAAGGAAAAGCCTTCTCCTAAGAAATACACAGGTGAAATTTGAAAGCTGAAGCACCACTCTTTCAAATGTTATGAACAAGGTTAAAGTTTTCCAAAAGTAGGTCAAACTCCACGGTCAGGGTCAAAGTTGTTGGTATTCAAAGAAAGGTCTAGTCACAAGGAATGCATATGTGAAGTATGAAAGCCCTAGCACCAACCCTTCAAACGTTATGGCCAAGGTTAAAGTTTTCTAAAAGTAGATCAAACTCCAAGGTCAAGGTCAAAAGGTCAAAGTTGTTGGTATCCAAAGGAAGGTCTTGTCACAAGGATTACACACGTGAAACATGATTGCCCTAGCACCAACCGTTCAAAAGTTGTGGCCAAGGTTAGAGTTTTCCAAAAGTAGGTCAAACTCTTAGGTCAGGGTCAAAGGGTCAAACTTGTTGGTATCCGAAGAAAGGTCTTGTCACAAGAATTACATATGTGAAGCATAAAAGCCATAGCACTTATTGTTCAAAAGTTATGACCAAAGTTAAAGTTTGGCAAAATTTCGCAAAACTAGGTCAAACTCCAAGGTCAAGGTCAAAAGGTCAAATATGGTGGTACCCAAAGAAAGGTCTTGTCACAAGGAATACACGTATGAAGTATGAAAGCCATAGCTCCAACCAATCAAAAGTTATGGGCAAGGTTAAAGTTTTTGCGGACAAACAGGCAGACAGACAGACGGACGGACAGGGCAATCTTCGATACGGGGGCATAAAAATATATGCCGTCACTGCTCGTGTAATCTTTTGTGAATTTTTTTGATACAGCAGAATTATTTATACAGCTGTATTCAAAATCCCAACGCTTTAGTTGATATGTAGATTAATTGCTGCTGTTGTCTCTCTGCATGGTGTTTGATAATTTGTAAAGGTAATTGTATGTTAATTCTCTGGCAGCCAACTCCCACTGTCAGAAAATGCAAGAAAGGGTTTCTAATAAGGTAAAAGTAGAAGTAATTGGTATTATATTGCGTAATATGAACAAGTAAAGGGGCGCCCTTTACAAGGATGTCATGGTTTTACACAATTTATTTCTCACTTCATATTCTGTTTATAAGTATGAAATATAATGTAGTATGTATAATAAATAATGATAAAGGACTTCTTATTGGTGCCCCGTAGAATAATTGTTAAGAGTTAGAGCAACTGTATATTAACATATATGTTGGCAATCTGTTACCGGTATAATTCTCTTATTTTAAAATACAACTCACTTGTATTTCGCGTAACATTATTTTTGCAAGAAAAATAGCACAATAATTAAGAAAGTGTCATTTTCGAGAAGCCTCCAAAAGATCAGCAATGAGATGTTTTACTTTTATTATTCTCAAGAACTTTTTCTGGTGTCGATACAATATCGTAAAAGTACGCCAAAATAAATTTATTTCAAAAACACGATTTACCTTATAGTTAATTACTCCAATCCTAAGGAATATGGTGTGTTAAAATATCTGAATATTTTATTTCCAACATCTCATACTAGCAGTATAATAGCATTTTAAAACTGTTTTTTACCCCCCCTTTTTTTTTTAAAAATAGTTTTGGGAAAATTAGAAAATTCATTTTCAAAGCGAATTGATTTTAATGAAACAGATATTGGCACGTTCCTATTTATTGTTGGGCGTGTAATTGTATAATTTGTTTCTGTCTCTTATTTAACAGGATATTTATAACACGTTGATAATACAAGGTATCTACAATAACATTTAGCAAATTCTATGGTCGATACAATGATCTTGTTTGCAAATACGATCTGTCTTTAGGTCGAATGTTGACTAACGTCTTTCATACAAATTGTTAGACCATTATTTCATACTGCATTTTCTACGGATTTTCCCGTTTATCCGATCATGACAAAGAGTACACGGCAGATGCGACCGGTCGACAGGGAATTCTTACTGCTCCATGGCACCTAATTCCACCTCTGATGTTTTGAGAGGTCCGTATTTGCTCTGCTCACAATTTGTATTGTTTCACTGGACTTTTGATTACCGTTCATTATTTTCCCATTTCATTTACACATATTTATGTCTTTTTGTGAGTCTCATTCAGAGACTGTGAAGACAAATCAATTATAGATCTCCATTGTACACCCTACTTCTTATTCACTTTGGGTTGGGATTAAGTTAAGACATAGAGGTATCAATATGCATTATATTTGGCCAATGGTAAGAATGAAATATGAAGATAGTGAACAGTAATCAAGCTCAAACATCCATTGAAACAATACAAATTGGAAGTAGAGTAAAAACCCAGACCTCTAAAAACATTAGAGGTGGGATCAGTTGCCATGAAGGTGTAAGCATCCATTGTCGACCGGTCACACCCACCGCGTGTTCCTTGTCATGATCAGACTAACGCAAAAAATCTGTAAACAATTCAGTGTAAAAAATGTCCTAATAATTTGTATGAAAAACGTCAGTCAACATTCGATTTAACGATATATTGTATTTGCTAACAAGGTCATTAATTTGCGAGATGTTGACTTTAAAAGGGACTGTTTAGTATCCTTGTATTATTTACTAATTTATCAATAGCTTGACTTTTTTTTTTTTTAGAAATTGTTGTACGTAGAGCATGCGCTTGCGTATCGAATTAACTGGGAGACATAAACTCCATATGCAGGTGATAATGGTATATTGCTACATAAATAAATGAAGTTGACGATAGAAAAGTTGACGTCATCATGTTTATCATAAAGTTTTGTTGATAGGTTGCCATTTACGTCCTTTTCTAGTTAATTATCCAAACATGAAACAGATGTGTCAGACTCTGTGGTGTCCTTTATGTCGAGTTCTAAAGGATACATCAAATCAACATAGGAATGAAAATGACTATTGTTTTAAAAATAATAATAAAACGTCGTCGATATATCCAAATATCGAATTGAAGACTTCTTCGTCTCATGCAGATGTTTTTTGAATAAATTCTGCTTCATAGGTCTGCTAATAACGGGGCGCAGTTAGTTCCCATGGCAATTCCAACAGCTTGTTGGAAAACTTAATCTCCAAAAACTTCATAGATTATTGTCAATTAGAAATTCAAACATCTTTTTGATATCAACTTCAGAGTACTTGCGTGTACAATCAGAATATTTTAAACAAAATAATTTTGCAAATGACCAATGACAATGACAAGTATAAAAACAAGTTTAGACATATTCTTTGATACACATTGAAATGATATATGAGACTAAAATAATAACTATAAATGCATTTTTAAGTAAACACATAAATATTTCATCTGGTCTTTACTACTGTAACCTTTACAATGTCTATCAAGAAAAGACATCTATGCATAATTAGGTATTTTTGAAATTTAAGCCTGTAATCAATGTTACAGTCATTAAAAGACTTACTTGTCAAAGTTGAAAATCCCCAAAGACTTCAGATATGGAAAAAGACATGTGCCTATATTTGGTATCTAGTTAAATCCCTATAATTACACTGTGCTTTAAAAACAAATTTGAAATTGCTCTGTAGAAATAAATGATGTCTGCCTTCTTCACCTCTTTAAGTTGTATGTCAAACCATTCTCCTAGATTGTCTAATTAACATAATTCTAAATTTGGAAACAGACAGAGGCTCCAAACATGTAGGGAACAGAGTTTCTAAAATGTGATTTGTCGAATAATAAGACATTTAAACTGAATGAGAGTTTGACACTTTTTTTTTAGGAAGGGGAAGTTCCTTATTGGATACCAGTAATAGAAAATTAATTAGCAATAAATAATTAATTTGTGTAAACAACATTTTTCTTTTGCTTTCGTATCATAATTCAAATGTTTCAGGCATGAATAGTTATCTTTATATACATGTATCTTTTGTATACGCATTTTCTGTCTTAGCTTTTAAGTTGGCCATAAAAATTGACATTTACCATTTCTATGTAAATGAAGGTTTGACGCCTTCAAAAACTTTTACTGCAGTACAGTTTGCTATATGTACATAACATAAAAACAATATGTCGTACTTTATGAATCCACCTGGTCTAATACTCTTGTTAAATATAATCAACGGATTTCATGCGTTACATTCTGACACATCTGTTTCATATTTGGATATTTTACTTGAAAAAGACGTTAATGGTAATCTAACAACCAAGCTTTATGATAAACATGATGACTTTAACTTTTCAATCGTCAACTTCCCTTACTTATGCAGCAATATACCTTCATCACCTGCATGCGGGATTTATATCTCTCAGTTGATTCGATACGTTAGAACATGCTCTACGTATGTACAATTTCTAAAACGAGGTAAATTATTGACAAACAAGTTGATGAAACAAGAATATCAGCAGTCTCGTTTAAAGTCATCATTTCGTAAGTTCTATGGTCGATACAATGACCTTGTCAGCAAATACAATTTATCATTGAGTCAAATGCTGACTGACGTTTTTCATACCAATTTTTATGCCATTATTTACACACTGAATTGTCGACGGATTTTTTCCATTATTACCCGATCATGACAAGGAGCACACGGCGAGTGTGACCGGTCGGCAGGGGATGCTCACTCCTCCATGGCACCTGATCCCACCTCTGATGTTTTGGAGGTCCGTGTTTGCTCTGCATCTATTTTGTAATGTTTAATGGACTTTTGAGCTTAAATACTGTTCGTTATCTCCATATATTTCATTCACCTCAATTTCTGTGTTGGATTTAACAGGAGTAATTCTATTTCCTTTTTTTTTTTTTTTTTTTTTTTTTTTTTACAAATTTAGAAATTATTATTTCAAAATGCAAAAAAAACCACAACCTTTTTAGTACATCACTTTTTATAAAAAAAAAATTGGCGATTTTAATGCTGGGTGCTTTAAGATTTAATTCGTTTTATCCAAAGTATTTTGGGTGGTGGGTGGGGTTCTTTCTCAAAAACTATGAATTCATAAAACATGTCTACAACACAGCTAATGATGATATGTCACCACACAAATTTTGGAAATAAAACTGGCATGCAATTGTTTACTTTCTAAAGTATAAATCTTATAATAGTCAAATATCATATTTGAAATAGAGATGAATCTTGATATTTATTGCAGAAAAATTATGTGTTCTTGTGTTATACTAAATCTTTGTCAATTTGTCACAAGTGATAGTTATTCTTTTTAATTTAAAAACCTCAGAATTTTAGTATTTCTCTAAGATAGGACCAAAGAGTCATTTCCTTAAAATTTAAATAAGTTAGGACTTTAATCTATCTCTTTTACATTCTTAAGCAGAATGAAAGCGCTAGTTAATGAATTTCTAAGAGATTACGAGTTAATTGTTTACCCAATAATATATGATATATTCAACAAATTTTGAACAGAGATTTAAAAAGTGAAATTCTTTAAATGTAGGATAAAACAAACTTCTAGACTTTGATATTCTCTATTCTTTTCAAACTATTTTTAATTTCAGATTATTCTTAACTTACGGATTAAGCTTGTCGGGTTTTTCATTTATTTGACAATATACATTTTGCTTTAAAATGTAGATATTTAATGTAAGAATTTCTAAAAGCCATTTTCAGAAATCAAAATCTATCTGATTTTTACGATTTGTGGCAAAGTTTAGTTTTTTAAAAGGAGGGAAGGTCTGTTGATTAGCAAGAAAAGGGACAGCAAATCATAAAAGTACTTAAGATACGAATTACATAATTTCTAAACTCGTTTTTATATAGAATTTGAAGTATATTGTAAAAAAAAGTAAGCCTCTGAAGGACACGGAACTGCTTCACTGCCACTCTTACCTGGACCTTTCCTGATCTGAATATATCCACAGGTGTTTGTAACAAATTAGAAAATTACCCTTATTTGCATAATAAATTAATAAGCATAGAATAGACAATGTCATTAGAGACTGCTGTCCACGAGAATACACTAAATATATTCGTGCACTTTATAAGAGACTGAAATGTGAGTTTTATAAGGCAGAATATATATAGATTAGTCATTCCTCAGTATAATTTCTATCCTCCAAAATCTTTGTTCTCTCTAGAACCTCAAGACTAATTTCAGCCAAACTTTAACAAACGTCCCTTGGTTATTGGGATTCATATTTGTTCAAGTGACTTGCCAGATCCCTTTTCAAAATTAATAGCGGCACGAATGAAACCACATAAAGGGTAATTTTATACACTGAAATATGGAGAAAGCATCCTTGTGTAATTTAGATTCAACTTTGAGCAATCCATGTTAGGGTTAGGGGAAAGGGGCAACAAAAAGGGTTCTTTTTTTTCTTTCTTTTTTTTTACAGTGAAATATCTTATCTCGAGGATTAATTGAATTGTCAAACTGTAAAATTTAATAACAATGCCCAACACAGTCTCTTTAAGCCACCATGTGTGTCGGAAGATAACAATTGTAATTCAACCCGTCGATTCCTTACACTTAGATTTACCAACAAAGGATAGGATGCTGTGAACCCTAGTAACATTCTTAATCATAAAAAAGTTCAGTCATACATTCAACCGTATTTCAAGTTTACACCCTGCATTTCCTACAGATATCCCCAAAACTATTGCATCCAAACTTTTCAATTATAAATAAAGCTTACAGTGCCTTGATATTGAGTATTCAAAACAAATTCCTCTTAAGTGGTCTTGTTCTTCTTTCAACTACAGTCTCGCTGGACAAGTCATCACCGGTGATGATAATATAGTTGAAAATGACGACCTAAAACCAATCATCTTAAAAAGGTCCTAAATACAGGAAATCCCGATCTTTCAATTGAACTTCATTTATATAATGAATTCTGTAGAAGCCTATACCAGACATTGGACTTATTATGAAAGGGAAGACCTGAACACTTTAGATCATAAAAGAATTAGAAAGACTTCATGACCAATATGTTATGGTTCCAGCAGGCAAGGCTTGTAACAACATCGTCCTTGTAAGGCTCATTATCATAACTGTATTTTAGAAGAATTTGCTTTTAATTTTACGTCTGAAAATCCAAATTATAGTGACAGCTCACTTTCTAAGAATGAAATTCTTCAAAATCACATTTCAGTCTTTAATACTTTTAACATTCCAGTCAACCAAGGTGAGTTCGATCTACTCTACCTATACTGGATTCATAAACTTCATGAAAATCCTTACAGATACACTGCCGGGTCCAGCAATGCTCTACGAAGCCCTATCTTTACTCCTCACAAAAATATTAATGCTGTAAAGGAGAAACTTCAGACATACTGTGCTATTTCAAATTCTAAGAATTGGTATATATCAGATGTGGATTCTCAAAAACTCCAAATAACTTAAAGAAAAATTTGAAATCAACAAATTTTTCAAAAGTCAGTAACATAAAAACGTTCGCCTTTTTTTTAAAATACATCTTATACAACCGTTCCTCATGATAAATTAAAAACTACATGTATAAACGGAACTTGGAAATTTTTATATCTTGTGATTGGTCATCAACGAAGTAACTTTGTTAAAAATCACTCTGATTCGACACACAAGCACTCTGAGGTTGACATGAGAAGGATGCTGGAATTCCTCATTGACAACATCTATGTAATCTACGAAGACCAGGTATTCCAACAAACTGTTGTGGAGATTCCATGGGCAATAATTGTGTGCTCCTTTATTAGCCGACCTGTTTTTGTATTCCTATGAAGCAAAATTTATTCCAAAATTCTATATGAGAAGAAGAAAACACTAGCTTTGGCCTTCAACTCGACATATAGATATATCAACGACGTAATATCAATTAATAATAGTTACTTCTATTCATATATCGACTTGATATATCCCAGTGAACTCGAAATAAAAGGTACCACCGAGTCTGCCACATCTGTATCAATATTTGGATGTTTTACTGACTATAGACGATAAGGGCCAACTAACAACTAAATTTCATGACAAAGGAGATGACGTCAGCGTCACCTTCCCTTATTTCTGTAATAATGTTACGCTATCACCTGTATATGGTTCTTAGTCTCCCAACGTATTCGATACTCAAGACCATGCTAAAAGTACGATAAACTTTTAAACCGAGGCAGGATACTGACAGATTAGTTGGTGTTACATTGATTTCAACAGCCTCGTTTAAAGTCAGCATTTCGAAAATTCTATGATCGTTATAATGACCTTGTTAGCAAAAATACCATATCATTGGATTGTATTTTGACTGACGTGTGTCATACCAATTGTTGGGCCTTTATTTACTCTAAATTTGACAACGCAATATTCCGTCTACCTGGTCAATACATAGGGCTCATGGCGGTTGTGATAGGTCGGCAGGGGATGCTTACTCCTCCTAGGTATCTGATCCCACCTCTGAAATTTCATGGATCCGTGTTTTATGCCCTGTTACCAGATTTGTATTGCTTGTAGATTTTTTTTAGATCGATTAATATTCGTTAACTTCAATTTTTTTATGCCCTCGTAATCGAAGATTCGGGGGCATATAGTTTTTGCCCTGTCACTCCGTCTGTCTGTCTGTCTGTCCGCAAAAACTTTAACCTTGCCCATAACATTTGATTGGTTGGAGCTATGGATTTCATATTT